CGAAGGCATAAACCACACACGAAGGGTTAGATGACACTTCACCCTTGGATAATAAACTATAGAAATAGGAAAGAATAATCATGGATGCACACTGGAGATGAAGAAGGGGTGAACACGAAATCAAATTCCAAAACAAAAATTATGTTTTCCCCACTAACACCGGCACACTGTCACGTCGTTCCCACCTCACCAGGGCGGAAAGCTCCCGCATATAAAAAAAAGGGCAGGGGACTCCCACGTGCAGGATCCTCCGCAGAACACCCGCAGGCCGGTCTGCATTCGGCCGCCCCGCCACGCCCCCGCACAGGCCCACGCACTCCTCAGCCGTCTGCCTGCAGGGGGAAGCGCTCGGAGGCCGCGCGGCTCGACGCGGCCAGGGCAGAGCGCCTCGGAGGAAGGGAAGCGAGGGGGAAGGCAGGTGGGCGGGGAGCGAGCCAATCCTGACCCCGCAAGCCCAAGCCCACGGGAAAGCGGGCAACCGGCGGCCCCGCGCTCCCAACCGAGGACTCCAGGGTCCCGATGCGGGGCCCACGGGGGGCCCAGCCCGCCGCCCCCTGCCCCTTCCTCAAGCCGTTAGCGCCGCGGCCCCACCCCTCGCCGCCGGCCGCGCCCCGTCCCACTCGCCCCCGGCCGCTACCCGGCCCGCCGCGGCCCGAGCCATCTGCTCGCTGGAGGTGGGCCCGGAGCTGCCAGCCAGGTCCGAGAGGTCGCGGAGCCGGGCTCCCATACCTGCACTTTCCTCCGCCCTGCCGTGTTCTGCCGGTGATGGGCCGCCATCTTGCATGTTGACACTCCGACGTCACTTCTGGAAGTAGCTGGGTCCGGGCGGATGTCCCGCCTCTTCCCCTTAGGCCAAGGGCAGGTGGCGAGGCGGAGGTGGTGCAGCTCGTGTGCTACACAGGTTCTGTTTGTGGCAATGACCGGTGGCCCTGTGGTGAGGCGGAAGCACCGGGAAATTGTTGCGTGCGTATGATGCTGGCAGAGAGCCACTTTTGAGCCGAGGGAGCAATCCGACTGCAACGCTGCGTGCCCCTAAACCCTGGCTTGCACTGTTCTCTGGGATGCCAATTCCAGAGGCCCAAGCGGGCATAAGGAAAGCGCTGAAAGAATTAATAATGCTGGACATGGGCGGCTTGGAGGGATTTTTCCCCACCCCGAAACTTTCCTAGGCAGCCAAAAGAACTGACAGATGTTCCATGACATTCCCCAAAATGCCAAAAATTATGAACTGATCTCGGAGAAATATATGTGTTTGGAAAGGAGGTGGCCCCCATCTTCAAGAGCATCAAAGTATGTATTTAAATAAGAGATACAAGGATGTTATGAAGGCAAAAAAATGCACACTAGTTAAAATTGTTTTCAGAGACAACTTTCTAAGGTGCAGATCCTGAAGGAGGTGTGCTCACTCTAGGATCTTATACTGGGACAATTAGCCCTTCTGGGTGAAGGTTTGACCTGAGGAAGTTTTCCTGACACTAATTAGTGGTGCTGAGGGTAGTCAGACTCTTGTGAAAGTGAATCCTATAGAACTGCACTGTTCCATACAGGGTCCAGTAGCCATGTGTGGCTCTTGAGCACTTGACATATAGCTAGTTCAAATTGACATGGGGTGCAACTGTAAAATGCCCACCTAATTTCAAAGACTTAGCACAAAGAAAAGAATGTAAATATCTGAATAATTTTCAGATTCATTACCTGTTGAAATGATAATGTTTTGGATATATTGGGTTAAACAAAATATTAAAATTATTTTTTTATGTTTTATAATGTGGCTATTAGTAACATTTAAAGCGACATATTGTCACTTTTTTTCTTGCATAGTGCTAATGAAGAAATAATGCTTAGGAAAGTTCTTGTCTAGACAAATGCCTTTCCAAATTAATAAAGAAATATGAATTTAGAGTAGTAGAAACTGGTGGCATAAAGCTTCTTAAGCAAAACTGGCAGTGATAACTTGTAGATAAATGACCCATACTGCATTTTATTACAGATACATTCATTTATTCATGTATTAATTAATTTGACAAATATTATTTAGGACCTGTTAACTACTAGGCACTACATTAGGTGCTGGGGATCAGTAGTGAGCATACATAATCATAGAACTTAGAGTTCTAGGGTAAGACAAAACTTAATTATGCATATAAATGAATATGGAGATAAATACAGTGAAGAAAGATGGTTATAAGACAGGAAATGATCCTGAGTCAAGATCTGAGGATGGAGTTAACTAGGCAAGGAGAAGGAACAGTCTGGGTAGAGATTTGTGGCAGGAGGGAGCTTGGAACAGTCCAGGAATTGAGGACCAAGCCTTAGAGTACAGAGCAGGGGAGGGAGTATGCAGAGGCCACACCCAGCTTGATCTTTTAGATCAATGGGAAGCTATAGAAGGGATTTAAGCAGAAGAGGCACATGATCTACGTTAAAAAAAAAATTCAACAAATACCTATTGAACATCCATGATATGCCAGGCACGGTACAGGCATGTTGCTCTGCACAATATGCTGGTACCTGCCAGAAATGGATTGTTAGGCTCTTGTGGCCCCACTTTGGACCTGAAGAGCATTGAAATTGTGAAGTCTTTTTAATGGGCAGAATGTCCAGCAGTACGTCTTGAAGTTCACTTTGCCTGAAAGGAGAGATGGCCTTGGGTCCAAGGCTAATTGTTTGGCCAGTTGGTTAAGGACATGGAAGGAGAAAGATTGGAGAACTGGTGACAAGGAAGACTCAGGAAGGGATATTCTGGACCTTGCAGAATAAATCTTAAGAATTTATTGGATGGGGCTGACCAAGTGGCGCGTTGGTTAAGAGTTGACTTGGGAGCACCAGCTCGAGCAGGAGGGCCCTGGTTCAGATCCCACATGAGACCCAGTGACACTGCGCCCTCTACAGCTAAGATGGTGAACAACAGCTTGACCTGGAGCTGGGCTGCTGTGAATTGCCAGAGATGGCGTAGGTTGCAGCCCCTGCTGCAGTGGGCTGCCATAAGTTACTGTGTGTAGCTGGCAGCCAGCGTGAGCGGCCGGCAGCTGGTGTGAGCTGCCAAGTGCCGCCGTGAGCGGCCATCCAATGGCTGGCAACTGATCTGCCTCAGCCGGGAAGAGTGCAATGATTGCAATACCAACATGGGCCAGTGAAGCGACGTCCTCCACAACTAGACTGAAGAACAAAAGGACAGCAACTTGTCTGTTCCCCTCCCCCGATTCCCCAACGCTGTACCCCTCCCCCAATTCCCCAATAGAATCTTAAAAAAAAAAAGAATTTATTGGATGGATGACAGGAACTGCTCTGTGGCTGAAACTCAACCTCCTTTTCCAGGCAGGCTCAGTGCTTGCTCAGTGGAATCATGAATGAAATGGCAATGATAACAGGATTGGAGCTATGCATGGGATCACCAAGCCAGTGCCGAGTGTTCAGGTTGCCAGCAGCAGTGACCAATCCTGAGTTGGTGATACACCCCAAGCTCCAGGAGGGTCAGCCAACCACTTGGAGGCAAGTCGATTCCATTGGCCCTCCCTGATCATGGAGGGAGTAGTTATTTGTCCTCTCTGAAATACGCTTCCTCTAGATTTAGATTTCCTTTCCCCGCTTGCTGTGCTTCTGTCAACACCACCATCTGGGGACTTGGAATGTTTCATACACTGTCATTGTGTCTGACACCATATTGCTTCTGACCAAGAAACTCACTCTGTAATGAAAGAAGTAACTTTATGGGCTATTGCCCATAGAATCCATTGGTCTAATTGTATATTCTATCACCAAGGAGCACCTGGTCTTATTGAAGACTTAGTTATGGTGCCTTCTGGGAGATAATGCTTTTTGATGCTGCCTTATAGGATGCAGTATATGCTTTGAACTAGTGTCCAATATTTGGCACGCTTTCTCCCTGTTATTATTTATTCCTGTATCACCACCCAAAACTTAGTGGTTTAAAACAACTACAATATAAACTTTGCTTACAAATCTAATTTGTGCAGGGCTCAGTCGGGACAGCTTATCTATGTTCTACTTTCCACTTGATTCAGTTGGGGCAGCTAAAAACTGGGGGACTGGGATCATCTAAAGGCCCATTCTTTCATGTGTCTGGTGACCGATGCTGAAATCTGTGGCCAGAATACCTATTCATGGCTGTTCCAGTGGTGCTGTTTGGCTATTCACAACATTGTAGCTGGGTTCCAGGGGCGAGCATCCCCAAAGAGAGAATTTCGGGTGGAAACTATAATTAATCCCTTTTCTAAACTAGTAGTGGAAATCTTGCAGTGTCACTTTAAACCACATTTAGTTCATTCGGAGCTGGTTATAGCTAAGGAGAGTCCTTTAAAAAAAATGGGAGAAGTATCAAAGAATTTGTGGATATGTTTTTAAAACCACCACACTTCCATGGGCAAAATGAATGGATTTAGGAACAAAGAAATATTATAACTAGTGACCCCAACTTAAAATATATATATATATATATATATATATATTTTAACTGCTATTTTTTGAGATTCTGGGCTTTGCTGGTTTAGAGGTTTGTTACCAAAGAAAGAAAATCTTCCAACAAAGCCTGAACAGTTCCACTGATTTGGAGATGAGTCTGCTATCTAACTATTTTGCATGTCTTGTGTCACTGGACAGGTATGAGAAGGACAAGTACAAAGTTAAGGTATTGGTGGGAGTGATTAACCCTGATTATCAAGCAGAAATAGGTTTGCTGGTAGACCGTAAACAGACAGGCCCATCAAACACCCAGATCCCTTAGAAACGAAGGTATTGATTGAAGATATAGGGACACAGAATGCCTGGTAGAGAAAGGAAGTCATAAATGGAGGTGAAGTCCTCATGACCAGGGGAAGAAATGAGAACTGTCATCTTTGTTTGTATTTCTTTTATTGATGTATCATGTATACTTTTATGGGTTTTAACTTTTTTTTTTTTACCCTTTACTTCACTATTGTTTGTAGGGTATGCTATTGTTAGTAAATTTCATTATTTAGTCCATAAGTTGCAGAGAAATAGATATCAACTAGGCATTCTGAACTTAGAAGTGGATGGACGGATGTGGTAATTGATGAAACACCGCGTTGACTCCCTTGGAGGGTAACAGTGAGTACATCTTTGATTGTTTGAAAGATAGTTGCAATATTATAAGTGACAACTTTTTTGATGGATAAGCATTGAAAGCAGTGGTTATGTTGGTGTTGGGCAGCCAAAGGGATGACTTTGCATTTGAGATTTTTGTGGGGTTTTTTTCTGCTTCCTACCATTTGAGTTCTTTCTGCGTTTGAGGAATTCCCCCACTGTGTGTCTTGGTGATGGTGAGCACTGCTTACAGAAAGTGAGAAAGACAGTTACTCACTTTTTGGGGTTTTTTTTTAGCCTTCTTACAGCAAAAGTATGTGTATGTGACCTTAGCTTGATTAATAAGATGACATCTTGACTGTAACTTTATGAGAATCCTGAGCCAACACCATTCAGCTGAACTGCTCCCAAATTCCTGATCTATAGGAACTGTGCAAGGTAATAAACGTTTGTGGTTTTAAGTGTCCTGGTTGTGGGAAATTTGTTATGCTGCAGTAGATAACTAATATAACTAATACAGCCTCCTTTCTCCATGAGGAGAGGAAACGTCACAGCACTTTCACAATTCTACAGAGATACAATAGCTTCACCATCAGCCACATCAATCTTCATTTAACGCTTTGTCTTTTTTGTGTAACTGCCAGGAGGCTTATCCTGGCAGAATTCCTTCATCCACCTCTTAACATCTCCTGCACAGGAAGATTGGCATCTCTGTTCAAAATGTAAGAAGGCCTGACACCTATTATATCGTTCT